TTACTGTTACTGTACTGTACTGCTACTGTCACAGAGATCTCTACCGGTTCCCATGTTTGGAACCACTACTGTTTACTGATATGATGGCCATCAACTGACTGTTCGGTCTGTTAAGACCTACTGTACTGTTTTGCTATTGGATGTACCACATATGACTATTATAGTTTCTAAATAACTGTTATGGCATGAAATATGAGCCACAAACTGAATGATTGATATACTGATAAACGACTATTTTCAATACTGAAAGGACATTCATTCTTAACCTCTTTACGGATATGTTATTCACTGGGCTTTAGCTCACTACTCATATATATATGTAGGTGTTCAGGCACCGAACCGTTGCTAGAAGCGTCAGGCTAAGCCCTTGTTTTGTCAAGCCAACCTTTGTGCCTCACTTCGAGGTTCCAGATCTGTTCAAGCTAAGGTTGTTTTTGGGGTATCTCAGATTCACCCTATCTGTCTCTGTTATGTATAGACTGAATGATATTTGTACTGTACTGTTATGGTACGAATTTGGTCCCTAACCTGAATGCCTGTAAATGATGTATGTATATACCGTTTTTGTTCTGAATGTGAATATGTTATGAAAAGTCTTTTTGCATACAGACTGTCACAGCTCATTGGACATCTTTTAATTACTGTTTTGGCTTCCGCCAGCCCCTGTACTCTGTATTACTGTTTTACTGTTAAGCAGGCCTTCGGTAATCTCGGATTACTGGTCGGTTACGATGCTAAACCCATAGGGGCGGGTTTGGATCGTGACAAAACTTCATTAAGGCTACAACAGCAACGAGAAGTTGGCTCTTTCTTTTTCTCCCCCAACTGATTAGTGAAAGAAAATTGGAAAAAAAGGTTTAACAAAGTGTAAAACTTTGTGAGGGCTACATAAGTGTGGATCACCCAAAAGTAATTGTGACACTAAAAGATCATATACAATTCATCTCAACGGAAAAACAAAAAAAAAAGCCTTCTTATACTATCCCCTTTTTATTGAATATTTAAGTTGGATTCTCCAATAGTGCAACCAAAAAAATAAAATCGTAATTGACTATCGAAATAAATTTTCCAGCAAAGTTTTTGATGAACTAACATAATCAAATGTTTCATCAATCTATAATGAGATTCAAAAGATTACATTTAAAGTCAACCCTCGCCAAATAACAATTTAACTTTTTATTTGGGTAGTGGCACGGAGGCATATAAATTTATTGTTGCTACTTTATCATATCATTCACTTCATAGATCTATGGCAAGGGAAGCTCGTACAGTAAGTAGTAAGTGGACTATCGAACGAAGACTTACAATAAACTTGTTTAGCAAACTAATATAATCTTGTCATTATATTACTAAACAAAAAGCTACTGATTAGTTTGTATCTACACCAATATTTTCAATAATCATACTTACCGACAGAGCATTTTAACTGTTACATTTCAAAGAAGTAAAGTTGCAAATCAAAACACAGACCCAAATCAGAAATTCAATTAATTATAATCATTTAAACATCTTACCTCGTTTAGTTCCAACATTCCATCAAACGGTTGGTATGTCGCAATTCCACTGATACCCAAACCCCTACTTCCTCATCCGCCTCCAAGTATAGAATCATTGAAATTTTGCAAAAACCACTTCTCAATCAAATCCAGTGATAGCTATAACCACAAAAACAATCAAATCAAACCCAAAACCAATACAATGAAAATTAATCAAAGAAAAACAATAACATACCCTATTTTTTGATAATCTGAGCTGAATGATACCATTGGGATTCTTCAACAAATCATAAGAATCTTCGGAAACCTTATCCAATCCAATGTAATAGGGTGAATCATTAAGCTTCGCAATCAAACTAGCCCGAAAAGAAATGTTAGCTTGCCCTATCGTTCCACGACTCAACAAATTAGACCGCGACGCAGTCCGAGAGAGGGAATTCCAGCCAAGAGAGGAGTAGAGCTGGACGTAGTTATTCAAATGCCTCTGTTGACTCGACATCCATGTGAACACCACCACTATTCCTTCCACTTTCCCACCTTCTCTTCTTCCATAATAATACCTTCCCTCTAATCCCCACATCTTTTTCTTCACCCCTGTCATTTCCTCTCCCCTTTCGCTTATTTTCTTGAGAAAATTGTCAATCCGATTTTCCTTTTCTAAAACCTAAAGCTTTGAAGTTTTCATCGCAAAATCCAAAGGAATGGCAGAGCCAATGGAGGGTATGGGCTGGTTCAGAAGGGATTGCTAAAGTTAGAAACAATCAAGGATGTAACTTGATTTTTTTTTTTTTTTTGGTGTTTGACGCTCAAAATTTTCATTTTGGCACTAATTTTTTTTCCCCAATCGTACCTTTCACGACAGCAATTGCGTGTCGTGGAAAGTATAATGTTTTAAACGGTTGGCTTTCTATGCATCGTGGAAAGTGAAATTTTTAACGGCTAGCTTTTTGTGCGCCGTGAAATGTTCAATATTTTTAATAGCTAGTGTACGCGTATCGTGTATAGTTGATGTATTGACGACATGTGATATGCAAATTATTTATGGCTAACATTGCAAGCCGTAAAAAAATCATCGTTATTAACATTCATGACCTATGCAATAGACACGTCGTGGTTGGGAAATTATTTATGACATGCAAAAAAAGCAAGTCGTAAAAGTGAGAAGCCACAACTTACATTTACTGTATGCCGTTGATATGAAGTCAGTAAAAATCCAGTTTTGTTGTAGTGAATTAAACTCCATTTACTATTCAATGAGCATCTACTTACTATTTTATTATACTTTACTTACTATTCAATTAAACATCACTTACTACTTAATAAAACTCAACTTAATTACTACCCAATCAAACTTCGCTTACTACTTAATGAGACTCAACTTACTATTATCTCACTTACTACTTAATGAGACTCTACTTCCTACTAAATAAACCTAACTTAGTACTTAATGAGACTTCATTTACTACTTGTTGATACTCTACTTACTACTCGTTAATTGTGTACTTGCTACTCCAAAAAATTTGACTTACAACTCAATCAAATATGACTGGTACTCAATAAACCTCAGTTACTATTGATTCTTCAGTAGAATAGTAACTAGAATAAGAACAAATTGTAAGTACGGTCACCATGAATGGTTAGTAATAATTAGAAATTTAAATTTTAAATTATTAAACAAGACCCATGAATTTTAAATAAAATGTAAAAATATAATAATTGACTTAGCTTAGTACTCAATAAGACACCACTTCATTTTACTTAATTTATTACTCAATTAAATTTGACTTACTACTTAATAAGACTCTACTTATTATTTTATTAGACTCTACTTACTAGTCAATGTTACTCAGCTTACTACTCATTGATACTCCATTTACTACTTCATCAAATTTGACTTACAACTTAATCAAACATGAGTACTTTATTAGATTTTGCTTACTACTATATTAAACCCTACTTACTACTTAATGAGACTATGTTTTCTACTCCATCATACTTGATTCACTATTTCATCTGATTTCACTTACTATTCAATTAACTAGACTTACTAGTTAATATTGTTTCACTTACTACTCAATTAAACTCTATTTACTACTTAATGAGATTTCACTTACTACACAATGAGACTCCACTTACTATTCAATGGTTTTTTTTTCCCCTTTAATTAGGTGAAATATTATTCCAACAAAATCTTAAAAATTATAAATTAAAAATATCACATTATGTTAAAATAAAACATTGATAAAGACATAGATAGATTCTTACCTGAAGCATGTATTGAATTTGTGAAAATCAAAATCACCCTCTTTCACTTATCTTCTGTAAAAAAATTATAGAGAAAAACACTATTGTTCATAGTGTGTGCAAATGAATTGAGAGATTTTCTATTTTTTTCTTAATTAACTAATTTAGATGTATTCGTTTATTGTTTTTAATAAATGGTGTTCATGTTGTAGTAGTTAAAGAATAATAATTTTTGTAAATATATTCATTTATTGTTAGTAATAAATATTGATAAATGAGATATATTCCTAAATATATTTAGAAAAAGAACAATGTTATATGTACTAATTAGTGTACTAACTAGTATACTAACAAGTGGTGTGGCATAATTTTAGAAGTTTTGGGTATTCGTAATTTGTGTAGTATGTGGGGTCAGTAATAATATAATAACACTAGTTGGTACACTAGTTAGTTTACTAATTGGTATATGTAGTACCACCACTACTCAATCAAACTATACCATACTTACAACTTAATTAAATATGACTTATCAATCAATAAGACACCAACTTCAATAGACTTAAGTTAATAGTTAATGGAATTACATTTAAATAGAAAATAACAAATATAAACGTTACCAAACATGTCCTTAAATAGTAATTATTATTTTGAGGTGTTGTAGGTAATAATAATAATAATAATAATAATAATAATAATAATAATAATATAACTATTTTAAATTAATGTTTCACAATAATGAATATTTTAAAAAAAAATTAAATTTTAACAAATTAATATTTAAATATCATGTTTTACTTTTTACAAATCATTTCAAGACAAAATAAAGAGAGAAGATAGTTAAATATGGTGTCATTAGTTTTATATATTTAAAATGTAAAAGATGGCACACTTTTCAAGAATTGAAGGTGACCTTTTTTTAACTCTAGCTTTAGTTTGAAAGCTGAAACTTCTTTTGGAATTTTTCTCTCTAAGATGACCGCTGGTAGAGATATTGGCACTCATGAAACATCAACAGAGGAGCAAGATCATCTTAACCGGAGTAAGAAAAAAGTGAAAGCTACAGAATCATCTAAGGAGGAGCTCCTGGAAAAGATCGATGAACAAATGGTGGAGGAAGATAGTACCCAGAATAGGGAACCAGAAAAGGCCATGGGCACACCTAAATCCTTCAAACAAGCCCTGCTGCAATCCAGATTCAATGAAACTGAGAAAGAACGCAGCTTTGATTGTGAAGCAGCCTATCTCTCTTAAGATGAAGAAATGGGAAATGAGAAGGAAACCAAGGAATTTCTGGAGGAGAAAGGGACAACATCGAACCCGGTGGTCAAACTACCTGCTGGTCTCCTTAAGAAAGTGAGAGAACCATGGAAGAAATGTCTCATTGTACGACTTTTGGGAAGGAATATCGGCTATAATTTGTTTATAAACAGAATGAGGAAGGTGTGGAATCTTCAAGCAGATTTTGAAACTTTGGATATTGGAAATGGGTTCTTTATAGTGAAATTTGAAATGATGGAGGATTACATGAAGGTTTTCATTGGAGGACCGTGGGTAGTGATGGATCGATATGTGACTGTTCGTAAATGGCAACCTGATTTCAAATCTAATGAGGCAGAGAAGGACACAACGGCAATCTGGGTTCGTTTCCCTAATCTCCCCATTGAGTATTATGATGATAAGGTTCTCTACCACATCTCGAAGGTGCTCAGTACTCCATTGAAGGTTGATATTAACACTGCCATGGCGGCACGAGGGAAATATGCAAGGGTCTGTGTTGAGTTAGACTTGCACAAGCCACTTATTTCGCATATCACTATTGGACGCTACCACTACGTGGTGGAATATGAACATTTACATACGTTGTGTTTTTCTTGTGGACGAGTTGGCCATCGGAAAGAAAAGTGCACTGAATATCCGGTGATACAGCCAGAGAAGACGATGCAAGATATGACCGTTACCCATCCAGATTCTGGTAATGGATCAGGAACATCAAAGCCCACTGGGCAAAAGAATGAGGTAGGTTTTAATTTGGACGAGAAACTAGGTTATGGGCTGTGGACTATAGCACCCAGTAGAAGGAAATTTCAACAAGGGAAGCAGAAGCATAAGGCCCACTACCAAAAGAGCAACATATTTAAAGTATTACAACTAGACAAAGATCATGGGGAAAATAGTGAAGGCCAGAAGTGTAGTAAAGCCCAAGGAAATCATGTGGATCTAGACATGGGCACTAATATGGCTACTAGTGATACAGATAGTGCCCAAAATAGGGGACCACTGGACACATTAGTGCAGACCTCACTAGTAATGGATGTGGAGCTAGCACATGCTGTGGAGGATAGGAGGCAAGATACAGAGATGGGTTTGGCACATGGGCTAAGTGGAAAAGAGGAGCTCCAGCAGGCCAATCAGTCCAGTACTCCCAAATTAGGCCCACAAGCTAGAGTGTGTGAAAACATAAGTCAAGGAAACCCTAATTCTAACTCTGGTTCCAAGCCACTAAATAGCCCCCATAGCTCTCCGAGTTTGCCAGTTGATAAACCCTCAGCAAATCGTTCAAGAGCAAGAGGAGGGAAATCACTGGCTCCAAGCAAGTCTCTGGAAGATAGACCTGATGGAAGAAGTTGCCGAGACCACTCGGATGATAGAGCACCGTGTGGACTAGTGCAGAACGCTGCTATTTTTAGAACTCGAGAAAGAAGTATATCACCACGTCGGAATAGATTGGTGGCTCAACAAAGTAAAACTCCTGATCCAACCATGGTGGGAGATAGACTCGCACAATGTGAGACACATGGTGCTTGTGAAACCAGCGAAAGCTTTCGAGGAAGACAAGAAAAATGTGACAAGCATTCTGGGTCTACCTGAGGTAGCGAACTGGTCTACCCTTCCACTGTCATCAATGGATTTGTTGATATGGAATTGTAGGGGTGCAGGTAATGACTGATTCCGGCGAAATCTGCGTGAGTTGGTCCAAATGCATAAACCTGATATGCTTATTCTCTTGGAGACCAAGGTGGAATTAAATAAGATGGGCATGTTCTTCAATAATTTGGGGTATACTGCTTCAACACATGTAGATCCCATTGGTAGAAGTGAAGGCATATGGTTATTATGGAATCCTAACCAAGTCAATGTTCGCGTAAATGAAGCTTATTCCCAGATGATTACTGCTACAATTGCTCGCCAAGATTACCCGGACTGGGTTCTTTCGGCCATTTATGCAAGCCCAAATCCCAGGATGAGAGATGAACTCTGGACCGATTTGGAATCAATGGCACAGAATATTCAAGAACCATGGCTGGTAGTAGGGGATTTTAATGATTACTCAAGTTTAACAGAAGAAAGGAGTTACTCTGTTAATCAAAGCCAGAACTCAAGCCAAAGCCAAAGAAGGAGCCAGAAATTTAATGATAGAGTAAACAACTGCCATCTTATGGACCTAGGATGTGTGTGTCCTAGGCTTACTTGGACCAACAACAGGAAAGGGTGGGCTAATACTATGGTGAGATTGGATAGGGCCCTCTGTAACACAGAATGGAGAACTCTATTTCCAAAGGGGCATGTTCAAAACTTGCCTCACACATAATCGAATCATTCTCCCCTCATAGTTCACACTCAAGGTACGCGACTTTTTAACCCTCAGCATATTTCGTTTAAATTCTAAGCGGCTTGGATCACCCATGAGGGATTCCGCACGCTAGTTGAAAATAACTGGCCTATTCATAACCAACAGAATTTGTTGAGAAATTTGGATTGCATGACAATTGCAGCAATGGATTGGAACAAAAATGTTTTTGGTAATATTTTTGGAAGAAAACGCTGGCTGCTTGGAAGAATCAATGGAATCCAAATTTCTCAAGAAAAAAATTATTGTCATAATCTACATCATTAGGAAAATGAGCTCATTGAGGAGTTTAATAAAGTCCTGTATCAGGAAGAGTTATTGTGGTTTCAAAAATCTTGCATTAATTGGATAACTCAGGGTGAACGTAATACAAAGTTTTTCCATCTATCCACCATTATGAAGAGAATAAAGACAAAAATTTTAGTTTTGAGAAATGATGAGGGAGTTTGGGTGGATGATCCTCTTGAATTAAAAATCCTTGTGTCTGCTCATTTTCACAAGCTTTTTAACTATAATCACACTATCTGCCTGGATCACTGGAATAATTTGACTAAACATATAAGCCCTGATGATCAAATTGAGATGAGTAGGGTTGTTTCTGATGTTGAGATTTGGAGGGCGGTTAAAAACATCAAAGCTTTCAACGCCCCTGGTCCCGATGGGTACCAAGCCATTTTCTATCACACTTTTTGGGATATTGTGGGCAAGAGTGTAATTAACTTTATTCAAAATTGTTTTTCTTCTTGTTACATTCCCCCGGAGATTAATAGAACTTTTATGGCTCTCATTCCTAAAGTTACTAACCCTGAGACTGTGAAACAGTTCAGACCAATCAGTCTGTGTAATGTAAGCTACAAAATTATTTCCAAAATCCTTGTCAACCGCATCAGGCCTCTCCTTGAGAATATCATTAACCCGAATCAAAGTAGCTTTATCTCGGGTAGATCTACCCATGAAAACATTATCATTACTCAGGAAGCATTACACACTTCGAGGAAGAAAACAGGGAAGGTGGGTTACATGATTTTTAAAGTAGATCTTGAAAAGGCTTATGATAATATATCCTAGAATTTTCTTAAACAAACTTTAAAAGAGTTCCATTTTGAGGAGAAGATGGTGGATTTGATCATGAGTTGCGTTACTAGTGTGAATACTGCTATTTTATGGAATGGTGAACCTCTTGATAAGTTCCAACCAGCTAAGGGTTTAAGATAAGGGGACCCTCTATCCCCTTACCTTTTTGTGTTATGCATGGAGAGGCTCTCAATTATGATTAATCAAAAGGTGCATTAGAAAGAGTGGATAGGTCTGTCCTTGACTAAGAATGGTCCTAATTTATCTCATTTATTTTTTGCGGATGATTTGATTTTGTTTGCTAAAGCTAATGATAAAAACTGTTCCACCGTTTTGAAAATTTTGGATGAGTTCAGTGCTATATCTGGTTTAAAGATCAACTTAAATAAATCTCATATGTTTGTTTCCCCTAACATTGAAAGGAGAAGAGCTAGAAGTCTGAGTAACATGTGTGGTATCCCTCTAACTCAAAACTTAGGAAGATACCTTGGGATCCCTCTTCTTCACACTAGAGTGAGCAAAGAAAATTTTGACTATATTCTGGAAAAACTCAAGACCAAGTTAGCTGGGTGGAAATCTGGCCTTCTGTCCATGGCATGGAGGGCCACCTTAATTCAATTTGTGACCAGTGCTATTCCAGCATATGCCATGCAAACTATGGAGATCCCACGGAAAATCTGTGATGAGATTGACAAAATAAATCAGAATTTTCTTTGGGGTGACACCTTAGAGAAAAAGAAAGTTCATCTTGTAAACTGGGACCAAGTTTGTAGGACGAAAAAAGATGGGGGTCTTGAGCTTCGAAGGGCTAGAGATCAGAACCTGGCTCTTCTGTCCAAACTGGGTTGGAAAGTGCTAAAGGAGGACAATTGCTTATGGGTGGCTGTGCTCCAAAACAAATATCTCGGGCAGCAACCCTTCTTGCACAAGAAAAAAGGCAAGAATATTTCTCATATATGGAAAGGCATCCTTAACTCAAGGGAGCTTCTTGTTAAAAGGGTGAGATGGAACCTTAGAAGAGGGTCCAAAGTTAGAGTTTGGAAAGATTGGTGGTGTGGGGAAGGAGTCCTTGATCAGGATTTGAACACTCCCACTTATCCACTCCCAAATTCTGGGAATACCACTGTGGATTACCTTCTGGATGGTAATGGTGAATGGGATTTGATTCATATAAATAACCTTTTGCCAAGGCATGTGGTTGTGGAAATTCTGAAAATACAACCCCCTCGAAATAGGGGTGTGGAGGATACTCCTAGATGGGTTAAAGCCCCAGATGGAGAATTCTCTACATCAAGTGCTTATGAAATAATCGTTGATCACCATAGTCAAGAAAGGGATTGGGGTTGGATATGGAAGCTTAAGGTCCCTCAGAAACTTAAGAGCGTTGTGTGGCTTGTTCTCCATGAGAAACTCCTCACAAATTATATGAGAAAATTGAGGGGCCTTACTAATGACCCGAAATGCCCATGTTGTGAAAACTTGGAGGACATGGATCACCTATTACGGTTTTGTCCCAATGCTGTGCAGGTTTGGTGTCAAATATTCAGTCCGGAATGGTACTCCAACATGCTCAATTTATCTTGGCCCGGATGGATCATCCGGAATGTAAAAAGGAGAAACAAATCTCCTCACCTGTTTCTTGTTACCTTATGGACTATTTGGAAGAATAGGAACAAAATGGTTTTTGAAAATAAACATATAAACTTGCATCAGAGTGTGGAAAGTATATTTTGTTACGCTAAGGAAATTTTTCAAGCTTTCAGTTTAGATATTACAACACCGCTGAAATATAAAAGTCTAACTGTTTGGTCTTGTCCAAGTGCAAGAACAATCAAACTAAACACAGATGGTAGCACTCGACGTAATGGAGGAGGTGGCGGTTTTGGCGGACTTTTTCGGGATGAGACAGGCTCATGGATTAGTGGCTATTATGGAAGACTAGAGATATACACCAGCCTTGAAGCGGAGCTTTAGGCTGTCTACAAAGGGCTCACAATCATTCTCCAAGGTGGGCTAAATCAAGTGGTCATTGAAACAGATGCGGAGCAAGTGGTGCAACTGTTAAGTGAAGATCTGAGAGAGCGATGCCCCTTTCAGGGCATTGTGGAGGATGCTCGTATTATCATAAGAGGCTACGACTGCTCAATCCAACATATCAAAAGGGAAGCCAACATATGTGCAAATGCTTTGGCAAAGCTAGGAGAAAATCAACCAGCTGAGTTACTAATTGTTATTGACCCACCAGCGGAAATCCGTAACATGCTAATTGCAGATATTGTTCACCTCTCTGAGGAGGTAGTTAGGACGTAGTTCCTTTTGGTTGTCTTTTAATTCCGATGTACCCAAAAAAAAAGAAGGTGACCTTTTAGCATGTAATATTTTAAATAGTAAGTTTATTAATAACAAATAGTAAATGAGTGAATACCAAGCAATAAGTATGTTTGTAGCAAATTGTAAGTTGCCATCATTTTTTTTTAATTTCAAAATTAACCAAAATTACTTTACTTTTTGTAAAATCACCTTACTTTTTAAAAAATCACTTTATTTTTTTCACCTTATTTTACTATGTATTCATCCAATGGCTAACATTTATCTTATCTAAATCTAATGGTCCATATTTTTTCATATACCGTACATAAAAATTACTTTCATGTATGGTAGAATTTTCCAAGAGAAAAATAGAAGAAAATTCAAAGGAAAACTTCATAACTTGAAAAATGAGAGAGGGAAATTTTGAATTGTCATTGTTGTGATAGTTGCTTTATGCCTTTTGTAGGCTTAGTTTTGTGTCTTTTAGTGGGAGTAGTTTGGTTCTGTTTATTTTTGTACTTCCTACAAAGATATGTGTTGAAGTTCATTGTAGATCCTTCTTTTTTTGGTTGTAAATTTACTTACTTATCCAAAAAGAAATTAGGGTTTAAAATCGTTTGATTGACCCGTGCTGTCTTGTGAGTCTAAATCATTAGCTCGTCTGGTCCAAGCCCATTCAATGGGGCTTGGGCCAAAGGTTTTGACTTGCATGTTGGGTCATCTAGAAAAAAAAACTAGCTAAGCTTAGCTCGGGAAAGACTTAGACACCATTTTGACAATCCGACCCAAATTGAAGTCGACTTTACTCGAACACATAAAAGCTCAGCCAATTCAAAATTGAGAATCGAAATACACA